GAAAAACGCATCTTTTGTGGAGACACTAACAGCAGCTTTGTTATTGACTGATATGGACGGCAGACAAAGTGCTTAAACCCCCTAAAGCTCTGCTCTGGGATACCTAGAAGCCAAGGATAAGGACTCTTACTGCAAAGGGCTTACCAGGGGCACTCCATAAAATTCCTAGGGGATGCCACGCAGCACTTAAAAATCGTAGTCTGCTGTTTCCTCTTCTGGAAAAAGGTGGGGGCAGAGAAGAGGGTTTCTAAATTCCTATTTTAAATGAATATTCAGTCTTTAGGGAAATTGCATTTATCCTTGGAGAAGGTTAAACTAAAAGAGATGTTTCTGGAATTGTGCATTAAACTGGTGTGACGGGAGCACACAGAGCTGTGGGTGACAGGGAAGATGAGTGATCCTTGTCTGAAAGCCTTGGCCTTGTGGGGTTCATTTTGTTTTTCAGCAGTTGTAAGGTTCAACCCCCTCCCTCCATTGCTGCCAAAATACTTCCTCTGGAGATACAAGAATTAGCGGGATCACATGTGTGAATTTTTCTGAACATAGTAAAAGACTATTTATAACTGGGAAATGGGCTTAATAAGATTACAAATGAGATGATTTGTTCAAATTGATCAGAATAATTGCTCAGTAACTACACAGGAGCTTTGGAGATATAGTTAAGCACCAATGAATGCCTCGAATGGCAAGCGGGAGAATTAAGAGCTGGAGCTCAGTGGTGTAAGTAGCTATGGGGCATCAGCAGGTGCCTAGCATACTTGCATTAGACTTGGCATCAGCATCTTTCTGGCACTCTTCGGCAAGGTGGCACATGCCTACCTATCCAGGGAACCGAGCAGAGTTCATGAAGGCTCTGGATAGACATAAATGAACTACTTACTGACCCATTAGTCAGTTTCCATTTTGAGCACAGCCGCCCACCATCTCCTGTTCAGTGAACAACCAGGCCCTGAGAGGCTGCTCCAGATAGAGACACTGAGGAAGGCAGGCTGAAGAGGCAGCATTGGTCTGCTCTGAACGCAGGCAAGCCAGGTCTCATCTGCTTCTCACAAACCAAATCGCAAGTTTCTTGAGTTTAGTTCCCTTCAAGCACATCTTTCCCAAGCTTGACTCCTGGCCCAAAGTGCTCAGAGACTTTCGGAGTGACACAGAGGCTGTACTACTCAGCAAACCATGTGGAGAATACCTCGTCAAAAATGTGGGCTGGGGTGGGTGTGGTCTGAATGTAAATACTCCCCAGATGCTAAGTGTTTGAATACTTGGTTTCCCAGCTGATGGTTCTATTTGGGAAGGCAGAGCTCAGCCCGGCCTGGAACTTGTGATTTCACATTCAAAGCACAACAGAGTAGGAACGGGAAAGGAAACAGAGGAAGGGGAAAGTGTTGGTGGAAATGTGAAGGATGAATTGCCACAGCCTGACAAAATCAGAGAAAAGGAAGGAAGGTGCAAAGGTAGGCGAGGCAGCTGTGCTGGTGAATGCCTATAAGCCCTGCACTTGGGAGGCTTAGATCAGAGAGCTGCAAGTTCAAGCCTAGCCTAGGCTTGAAACCCCATCTCAAATCATCATCATCATCATCATCATCATCATCATCATCATCATCATCATCAAAACTAAAACAAAGGTAGAGAAGCAATTCTGGGTGATTTGGGGTCCTGGGGCAGAGATGGAATGGTAGTGTATGAACCTGGAATAGCAGATAGGTTGGGACTGGGCAGATGATGGTTTAGAGCACAGAGAAACGTCTGGCATCTCACAACATATGCTACCCGAAGTCACAGGCTGATAACTGAGGGATCCTGCCAAGGCCCCTAACTCCAGCCAGGCTTTCATGTGAGCTGCAACGCGCACAGTTACCCCCACAGGCCAATACAGCATCTCCAGTAGATGAAGCTCCCAGAGAAAAACCCTCTCCCGACAACAGAACACTCTTCGGCTCTGCTGTCTGTCCCAGACAGAGCACCCAGGACTAAGCTAAGCCATGAAGGCTGATGAGAACAATTTACCCAGAACCAGGAAGTGCCTGGGAAGGTAATACAACCCTGGACCTGTCCATTGCAGGCATGGGGGCCTCATCCATGGTGCTCAAGCTGATGGGACTTCCTTCCCTCTGCCTCGGACGTCCAGGCTGCTCTCTTTACTACCCTTCAGCTGCTGGGATAATCCCAAACTTCCTGGGGAGTTGGGAGTTGGCCCCTTGGTGTGGGCTGAACACTTGGATGTGCTTGAGCATCAGACCAGAATTACATAAGAAGCACAAGCTTAGGATAGATAAGGTGGCAAACAGAGGGACGTCTTAAGGAAGAAGGTAGCTAAGCATATGGCACTGGGAACAGTTGATTGTTGAAACAGTAAAAGGAGAATTTTTCAAAAAGCTGCAGTTTGTGGGGAGGTTTTTTTTGTGGGCCTTTCTCTTTTCCTAGAGCAAAGGAAAACACAGGCCACGTTTCCTGCTCCACGCAACCAACATAATCTTAAGCAACTCCCACGGGAGAGAATGCAGCTTGCTGTATTCGAGTTGGTCCTTAAATATTTCTTCAAGCCTGTCTCCCTGTTTGTATTAATAACTAAGTTTCCTGGGGGGGTAGAGCTTCCCCAGGCTCCTTTGGGCTGGGCTATTCATCATGGCAGCAGCTGGAGATAAGCTGGACACAAAGACTTGTGTCTCAAGAGGGTCAGTCCCTAGATACAGAAAGTGGAGGAATTTTCTCATTAGTAGGAAGGCAGATTTGGTGAGAAGCCTGGGATTTCACCATGGGCACCTGGAGCAAATGGCAGCAGGGAGGAAGGCTCACCAGAGGAGTAAAGACCTCCACAGGGCTTTCCCTGGACGACTGGAAGTTTCTACGTGAGCTTTCTCGGGAGATGGAAAGCAGACATGCCACTTGGACTTAGGGAGGTCGTGAATGTGCCCACAGACACCATCTGTACTTGTCCCTACTCCCGAGAGAGCCACGGTAGGAGGTGCTTCACCTGAGACGCTCTAAACCTGGAAGGACATGTGGGGAGCGCTACTCAGTGACGCCTAGGAGTCCCCAGGGGCCAAAACCTCAGAGATAATCACTATGGACAGGCTGGGCTGGGAAACCCAGAGGCTTGGGGTGGCAGGGAATGAAGAGACAATGAAAGCATCATACAAAGCTCCTGAACATTCTGAACATTTACATACCTCAGAGAGATTCCAAGATCGGTGAGGGCATTTTCTGAGTCTGGATCAGCATCTAAGGTGCAGGTTTAGAAGCACTAACTCTTATTACCTTTGAATGTCAACTGGGACTCTCTACCAGGATTGCACAGAGCCCGGGGAACCAACTAGAATTTTCCACAGCCTCCAGTAGACTGTCAGTGTCCTTTAGTGGTTGCCGTAAGCCCAGAAGAAATAGACACTCTTGCAGCTGAAATGGATTGGCCTGCTTTGGGTGGTTCTGCCTGTGCTCTGACACATCTTGGTAGCATAATACCTGTGGGGTAGGCATGGCATCCTCATCCACTGTTAGCAAACAGGGCCCTGTAACACTTGTCACCAGTGTCTGAATAAAAATGCGCCTTTGCCCCTCTAGTTTCTGGACTAGTAGCTCAGCTTAGAGGACAACATTGAAAAAGTATTGTCTACATACTCATTTCTACACTTAAGAAAGTTCCCTACATTTTTTTTTTCATAATCATTCCTGCATACTTGACTATAGGCAATAAAATGAAATAAAAACTTTACCCAGTGGTGAGAAAGGAGAGCTGGAAACAGGCACATTTTACACCTGAATTGATGACAGAAGCAGATCCAGAGCCATTCAATGGGAGAGGCCATCTAAAGAAAGGTCACTGAAGCACACACTTAAAGACAAATGTTGCTATTGTAAGTATTTTCAATGCCTTTCCCATGCATGGAATACCGGTGGGTTGGTTTTTGGGTTACCCATGCTTTCTTGGAATAACATAGCTGTGCCCCACAGTGGGGAAAGCAAGCTAGCTTAAGCCCAGCTTTTCCTCTTCTTTGCCACCACTGGGAAACTGCAGTGAGATGCAGAAAAGGTCAGAGCCTTCACCTCATGTAGAGATGCCCCTGTCTCAGAGCGAGGGAGCCTCTGCATGCTGGACTACAGACTCTAAACCCTGGGTCTAGACAGAAAGATTCCCCCATCTTTCCCCTTTGGTGGTCATGTGAACGGCCGTGTGAACACAATAGGAGCCCCCTTCCTCCCCTTCTTCCTTTTGAGAAAGTCAAAGGCCTGGCTGACTCTCTAGGGAAGTGGTTCTCAACCTTTCCAATGCTGTGACCTTTTAATACAATTTCTGTTTGTGGTGACCCTCAACCATAAATTTATTTTTGCTGCTGCTTTGTATCTGTAATTTTGCTACCCACAGGTTGAGAACTGAAGCTCTAGAGCTCCTGAAATCTGACACCAGCTCTGGTTCAGTAAATGACTTCAAGGGCTGTCCCAGTTCAGAGCAGCCACGGGTGGGGGGGTGGGGGGGATTTCCCCAAAGTCCACAGCTTTGAGTATTCTGCTAATAACTGTTGATGCTAACCCCCTTTGAGCGAGCTACTGTGGTCCCTGTGGGGAAGGATGCACACACGAGGATGTTCCCTTTGCAGTGGAAGGCGGCTATGGACTGTAGGGTAAGATCTTCGAGAAGGATCAAGGAACATTGTTTCCTTACAGTATTCCCCCAAGGAGGGCTGGATGTGTACACATCATGTCGATGATCCAGAAACAGACATGCGTGGAGACCCTCACAGCAGCCAGCCAGCCAGCGACATAAAAGATGGCCCTTCCTAAAACTCATCCTCATTCCTCTAACAGTCTCAAGTTGGAGGTTTGTTCGTAGCACTTCTCTTCCTTATCTCTTCCAGATTCCTCATTCCTGAGTCTTTTGGGTTTGCAAAGTAAAATGCCATAGCCCCACCCCCACCCAGGTATCCTCCAGGAACTCAGGACTCTCAGAACTCTCCACCAGTCAAGAGGTAAAAAGACAAGCCAGCAAGACACATTTTATCATTTTATTATGCAATTTCCTTCTACAAGAAAAATCTCTAAAAATATAAATATGAACTCTCTAAAAAATACTCAGAATAGAACTATATAATCTTGTTCTTTCAAATAGGGGCCAAACTTGTTCTTTAAAAGATGATGGATTAAAAACACATGTCTTCATATTACCCAGAGACAGAACATTCACAGATACATTTCTAGAGAAAAGTGTAGGCTAGGATTAAGGAGGAGATACTTTCTTTTCATGTTTCTGGAAGCTCACTTTGTGATCTATCAGGGTAAAGCTATGGGCTAAACAGAGCTATACAATAGGGCTGGAAAGAAGCAGGGAGAAGGCGGCTTCAAGGCCCCAGCTTCTTTAAACAGATATAGAAGTTAGACCCTTCATTCCTCCCCATTGGCTAACCTCCGCCCCATGCTTATCAAGCTACCCAAAGGTCAAACCCTAGGGGATCTGGGTTCACTGTGAAGGCTGCTGTGCTGCAGTCTACACTGCTGAGATGGCCAGCGGGCCTGATCAGGCACTAGATGGAAGAGCTGATGTGAGTCAAAACCCTCAGGAGAACTTGTTCCTGCTGGTCCCTGGGAAACACATGGGCCCTAGCACCAGGCAGTATCTACAGCATCTAAGACAAGGCTCAGTCGCAGAGGACCTCCCGAGGTAGCAGGATCACTCCTGTAGCAGGGAGATAGTCAAGGTCCTAGGAGTTGATGCAGACACCCATGGTATCTAGGTCAACACCGAATACAAGTCGAAAGTACTTAGAAGATCCCTTTTCAGGGGCCCTGGGACAAATGTGATGGGATCTCTTGCTTAGTGCCGGGCCTGAGGGCCAGGGCTCTAAGCAGTATCCTGGGCACTTAAGCAAGCCAAGCCTCATGCTGAGTCAACCTAGGCTCAGAAGGGAGCAGCCCCAGAGGACAGCTATCTGCTGAGCTTCCCATCAGAGGCACCAACCAAGACCCCCGGTATGGAGAGCTCGGATTACATCAGACTTGCTCTCTGGGGGACAGCCTGAACTTTCTGTTTGGGGAAATATCCCACATTATTCTGGGACGCTAGTCCTAAGGACTTCTCTGACTTTAGGATCACATCTTTGGGATGCCCTTGGGGCAAGGCACATGTGCTACCTATGTGCTAACAGCCCCGTATATTCCACCAGGGTCTTCAGATTCCTGGAAGCATGGAATCCCATCTGAAAGGAAAAGACAGGAATTTGCAGGGAGCGCAAGATGAAGCCTTGCCATCTGCGGCAATGGAAAATGGGATGAGAGAAGAGGGTCGGAGGGCAGAGATGGCAGAAGCGAGCGTATCAGAGGGAAACCTCATCCTGGGGGTCTGGCTGAGGCCTCCTACGCTGGTTCTTCTGGAGTTAGCTCAGATGTCTGCTGGTTGAGGGGAGGGCAGTGTGCTGGTAATGTTCAACTGGGAAGTGTGTCCCCCATGTCACAGATGCCAAGGGAGCAGAAGAGGGAAGGCCACAGGAAGCAGGATGGGGGCGCTGCTGCAAGGGCAGCCCTGGCTGAATGCACCATCCCTAGACTCCTTGTGGAGCTCTGGCCTCCTCTTTTGAGAATAGGGATGTCTTCTGGCTACAAAGGCCTTTGTGGATGGTATCACTACAGAGTCTCCTGGCCACAGGAAGACAGCATGAAAGGGCCCCTGGAGGGAGGAAGGAAGACAAAGCAAGTTAACCTGGAAGGCAGACACTGGTGAAGGGCTGATAAGCCTCGTTGGTTCCTTACACAGAGCCCGATGGCAGAAGCAGAGGAGGATCATTGTTACCTGAATGATGGACCTAGGTTCCAGGTATCTCTGGGCTGGCCTGGTGCTGCAAGCAATTCAGGCAACCTCAGCACAAGCACAAAGAAGCACTTTCCCTTAATGGCAACTGCTTTGCCCACACAGTCCTCACCACATTCAGTCTCTGACATGCTCTGCCCTGGCTCTCATACATACTGTTGCCAGGCCCCGGCATTGCCTCACTCTTGGTGTGGAGTGGCCTGAAAAGCTGCTCTGACTTCCAGCAATGCCCTTCTCAGTCCTCACTTTCCACTTCTCTAGGATCTCTGCTCTTGACTCTTGTAGGACCATTCTGTGTTCCCACACTCCCCTCTCTGAACATCAGAACATTCTCTGCTGCTTCTGCAGGGGCCTGCCTGCCCGTATTCACCCACACATAGCAAGGAACCCCAGCACAGCTGCCTGTATCATCATCCCGAGCGCCTATCCAGATACGTAGGGGCGCATCTAACTGGATGAGAAAACCCTGGTTGACAAGGTTCAACCTTTGAGGAAGCTCTCAAGGCCTTAAGCCTCAGAAGCACCTCCTCTGGCCCTAAGCCGGAAGCAGGGGGGGAAAGATGATGGTGGCTAGGGGTCCACACAGCTGAAGGGACTATGGTAAAGTTGCGGTCAGGGTGTAGCTTTCCAGGCCAGGTCCCATCATCAAGCCAAAGCCTACTATTTTTCCCTAGCTGAATTCCCTTCAAGGTGGGGGGAGGGGAGGGTGTCCCTGGACCATTATGGAAGAAAGGGACAGAATCAGAGTTTGGGGGGTAAAAGAAAAGACAGCATATAAGTCTGAGCAGACAGGCAAAGAGGATTCCATCCTCCTCAGCTGGTGGCCCTGTAAGTCAGTAGGAAGCTGGGACAAGCTTGAGGGAGCATGAGTTCTAGCAGCCAGCAGCCAGGGAAGCTTGCAGAACAGCAGGATCTGAGACATCATGTCACTGCATCCTTTTGCCATTCTGCAGACTCCTTAACTGGGACTACTTGTGGCCATCTGGTCCCAAAACATCTCAGGTAGAGAGTGGACTCTGGGGTGCCTTCTGCAAGGAGGGTGAGGACGTGGCAGAGTCGGAACAAAGGCCATCTGTGTAGTGGACAACAAAGTGAAGAGGGTGTTCAGCAGGGAAGACGAGGGACCCTACTCAAAGGACAGCAGGTCTGGGTGAAGGCCCTCATTGTCAAGGCTGGAGGTCCGTGTCTGTGGAGGTGGGCTGCTCTTCTCCCAGGACTCAGCCAGGCTGATGGGGCTCAAGCTGAGTTTGAGGCCATTTCTCTCAATGGGGCCAGGGGAGGAGGATTTTCTGCACTCAGTTGCCTTTAGCTTGGATTCCTCCTGGTTGTTCTTGTGTATTAGGTCAGGTACCAACAGGGACACCTCGCCATTGGGTAGAGCCTCGCCCTTCTCTCCCATTTCAATGGTAGACTCTGGCCGGGAAGTGTCTGCAGGGACAGGCTGAGCAGTGGGTGGAGAGTCCTGGGCCTGCCCAGGTGACAATTCTGTCCCATATTCTAGACTGCTTAGGACCGGCTGCGATGAAATCAGCATGTCCTGGGTGGTCTTCAGGGCCCGAGGGGTTCGCTTCCGGGTTATGGGAGGTGGAGGATCCAGCAGAGGGAAAGCTTCCTGGACTGACCTGAAAGTCCATGACAATAAGCATTTAGGTTTTATGGACAGTGAGATACCAGTCTATACACATTCTAAATTCTCTACTCCAGCTGCCCCTTCAGCCCCCCAACCTAGCAAGTGCTTCCTCCGTTGAGTTCTTGTTCTGGATTTAGGTTGTAGATCTTAGCAACCTCAACACAACAATTAACTATGAGGCTGCTCCCTCCTTATTCAGTGCTCAGAGCGGTACAGAGTGTTGCCTCTGTGAGGCTAGAGAAAGAACCCAGGGCGTTGATTCATCTTAGAACTCAAGTACTGGGCCCATTAAAAGGCACATGAGCTCATGGTCACAGGTGTTGGAATCAAGGCCCAGAAAGATGCTGTTGATGGAGACAGAAGTAGCTGCATCATGCTTCTTCCTCCCTATCAGGCACTCAGTCTATAGTAGCAGTCCTGAGGAACAGCTGGCATCAGAACCCACGTGGGGAACTTTCAGGTAATACCAGGGTTCAAATTCACTTCCAATTATAAAGGCTGAAGTGGGCTCTCACAGACCCAGGCTTAACCCTGTATTTCTTGACAAATGTTCACCCCTTCCTTGGGCTTATTCTTTCCTGAATGTGCTGTGGTTTGTCCATGTTCCTACATCTAGAAGTGGGATAATGGGTGGATGAGAAGACTCACCTTTCATCCTCCAGCCAGGCTCCACAGGCTGGCTCTTCCCCACCAGCCAGCTGGGCCCCAGCAGTCTTATTAATCTCCATCACACCCACGCTGCCCAGGCTTGAGGACTCCTTTCTTCGCAGGAGGTCATTGACCTTGGCCCCCATGGCTTTGCCCAGGTTCTTAAGGTGCTGGCTGCTGCCCACCCTCAGTCCTGGTCCTCCTGGCTCTGCAGAGCCAGGGCTGATAGAGCCTGGGGCTGCAGGTCTGGACAGGTGGGGGAAGGAATGGCTGGACTGGAGCTTTGGAGTGAGGGTAGTGTTCAAATTCTCAAACATGCTGTGGTCAACTAGGAACAAAGGAAAAAGAAGGGGACATGTAAGTGGAGGGGAGTAGGACTCTGGACTTTGTTTCTCGGCTCTCTTAGTTTTAGTTTTATATTACATCCAAAGCTTATCACCCCACAACTTTCTGGAAGCTTCCAGTAAAGATGTTTTTAAACTTTCCAGGATAGTTTTTGTTTTGTTTTGTTTTGTTTGTTTTTTGTTTTTGTTGATAGAACACTAGACCAAAAATTCCAGTTGTTCCCCACGGGGGGCTAACCAGTGACTACGTCTAGTCATGAAAAGTCAAGCATATTCCCTTAAACCAACCTCCTTGACTTCTTTGGTCTTGGGGTCACCAGGCCCTTTGAAGCAGAGAGAAAATGAGGATGAAGCAGCGAAACATGACATTTTTACGCTGCTGAGAGCACATGCCACGCTCTTTCTCAGGCACTGGGGACAGGGGCTGCTGCAGGAAAAGGATTCTGGGTCAGGAGTTCCCTACTTTTGGCCTCCTGTGTGACACATTCTCTCCATGAAATATGAGCCAGCAGCTCCTAAGTTCTTGTGGAGTAGAAGTGGGGAAAGTAGAAAAGCTTGTGGACACAGAGGCCAGTCAGTCAGACCCAGTGTGCCACATGGACAGGAACTTGCTACTGGCGAAGCACAAATGTCCTGGCGAAAGCCATGTTCATTTGCTTCCCATGATAACCTAGTGAAGGAGTGCATTAGAGAGAGGCTCAGAGTACTAATTGTGGACCTGATGTCATAGCACTAGTTACTGGCCGGCTGGAATTAGAACTCAGGTCTTCTGATCCAGAGTTTATAGCTTTTTCCTCTACTAGTGACATGGGATAGCTATAGAAGAAGACCCTCTTGGGACCTCTGTATGGCTTTAACAGTTAGCTTGAGGGGCTAGATGACTGGGAGGGAAACACTTTCAAGGCTGAGGCCACACTTCATGCATCTTTGTGTTTGTCTCTTCAACACCAAGCTTGGGCCTACACAGCAGTTACGCAAACGAACAAACTGCCCACATTCACTTTGCCTGTGGAGAATTATAAAGGACAAGATGGTAGTCTATTGCTGAAACGGCTGGAGCTGCAGGCTCTGTGCCTTGCTGCCCACACACTCTGTGCTGGATACTTTTATGTTGACTTGACCCAGGCTAAAGGTATCAGAGAGGAGGAAGCCTCCATTAAGACAATGTCTTTGTAGGGTAGGGTTGTAGAGTGTTTTCTTAATTTAGTAACTGGTGGAGGATGGCCCAGCCCATGGTGGGTGGTGCCATTCTTGGGTTGGTGGTCCTGGGTTCTATAAGAAAGCAGGCTGAGGAAGCCACGGGGGATGTAACAGTAGGCAGCACCCCATCAGCTCCTGCCTACAGGTTCCCACCCTGTTAGAGTTCCTGTCCTGACTTCCTTCAGTGATGGTCTATGGATGTGAAAACAGCCAAATAAACCCTTTTCTCCCCAACTTGCTTTTTCTGTCATGGTGTTTCATCACCGCAATAGTTACTCTAATCAGGATACTTGGCTATCCATATCTTCTCTGAAAACCCATCTAGATTATCAAAGCAGCCAGACTTTGCACCAGAGTTGTCTATGGCCATTGTTCTAGCTTTGTTGTCTATCTGGGCGGGGAGAAGTTGTATGTGATCTTTGGGATCTCACTGTAAATATGGCTGCTAAGGGTCTATCTCACTAAGTCTTTCCAAAGATTGCCTGAGGCTAAGTCCTTATGCTCAGTCTCTTTTGTCCTGCACTGCTGAGCTCCAGGCCAGGGGGAATGCTTCACTTTCTGTGACTTGAGTTGAGAGATTCCATCTGGGTCAACCACCTGGATAACTTGTATTCCAAGGATTCCTGGGTAGCAGAGAAAGAACCATGGGAGGAAGAGTGGGGATGACTTTCATGGTCTTTACCTCTGAGCAGTCTTAAAACCATGAACCCATTTTCTCTGTGGAATGTGGGCTGACAGCTCCTTGGGTCTCCTGAGGTGGAACTACTGTGTGGTGGGAGGGATATGCCAGGGGATTTGGGACAAGCCCCAAGTTGCTTGGACTCCAGATGTGCTCTATCACCCTGGCAGGGCTCTTAGACTACCCCACAGCTGCTCCTGACCATTTTCTTAAGAGTGCGTCTTGCCACGTCATCCACTTTGACATAATTTGCCTATCATGACCCAGATCCTTGTTTTATTTTCTTGTGCATTCTGCAAGCTAGCAGAGGTGGTCTGGACATTAATTTCACTATCTCCCACCATATAGAAAGTGTGTGAAACAGAAGGCCATTGCATGCAAGGCTCCATGGGTGTGAGGAGCAGCAAGTTCTCCACGGTTGGCTAGACCTCCTATTTCTCTGGTAAACTTTATATTTTCAGAGCAAGCAGACTTTTTGTTGTTGTTCTTTTTTTTTGTTTTGTTTTGTTTTGTTTTTCAAGACAAGGATTTTCTGTGTAATAGCCCTGGCTGTCCTGGACTTGCTTTTGTAGACCAGGCTGTCCTTGAATTCACAGAGATCCAACTGCCTCTGCCTCCCCTGTTGGGATTAAAGGCATGTGCCACCACATGCCCAGCTAAGCACACTCATTTTTAAAAGTGGAAACACTAAAACTGCCCATCAAACTGATTTGTAAATTACAAGCATCTATTACTTTCAAAACACTCCTTTAGCAAGCAACTTTAGATGATGCCTTGTGTGGATTTTCTGTACTTCTATCTCTACTTTTTATAACACAGGCTATAAAAGATTCTAAATTCCTCAGTAATTTAAGTGAGTCTAGTATATGGTTTCTTTACCATTAGCTCACATTTTCTGGGAAATATACCTTGTTCATATAGTGGGATGAGAAGTCCCTCGAAAGGGGCTATAGAACCTTCGAGCACTTCTATCATCTAGAAGGCCTGGCTTAGGGCTTTCCATAACAATAAGCATTTAATAAATCAGTTTAGCTGAATTTGACCTTAATGTGAATTCTTAACTATATCTTATTGATAGGCCGATAGGAGAAGGAAATCACTCTAACCATCTCCAGACTTGTGAGCACAGTCTCAGAAACCACCCCAAGCCCTCTCTGTGGCAGTGGTTGCAAGGGCTTGCGAGGTCATGCTAGGGGAAAAAAGTTGTCTTCTTTGCAAAGTTGGCCTCTGTCGCCCCCACAGCGGGCATCTTTCCTGCTGACAAGCCTCTCACACTTTGTCCCTTCAGCCTCACAACTGTCGAGGCTTAGTGATGGAGAGAACAATGGTGGTGGTGTGCCAGTTGACCGGACCCGAGCTGGGAGGCCCTCCCAACAGCACTGCATGTCATGCACATTCTCAAGCAGAGGAGGGCATCTGGGAAGAGAAGTCATCCACAAGAAAGCAGGGATCTTACCTGTTTAAGAAAAGGGCTCGAAAAGCAGGTGGGAAACAAATGAGAGAAAGACACATTTATGTAGTGACCAGTCACTTTTAGAGGGTTATCATCTCCCGTTTAAGCCATCAGCACCAGCACGTGAAAAAAGGCTCTGCCACACAGGAACGCAGTAAACTCTGGAAAAACCAAGCTCCCACAAACTCTCCAACAGCTCAGTAAAAACAGGTTCATAATTCCAAAACAAGAAAAAGACACTACTGCAGCCTTCCCAATTTCCCTCCCATTTTGCACCCCCTTTACAAGAACTCCATCTACATAGCTGGCAATAGAAACCCTTCTAAGTCCCTTGGGTCCTGTGCATATAGCTCACATCTAGGCTCCTTTCACCTGTAAATTGCTACACACTGGAAGACATTCATCACTCTGTCTCGGTCTAAAGAAACAGTATGGAAAAGCCAAGTGGCAGAGTCTACCCATCACACAGGCAGCTGATGGAGAAGGGGATTCAAAATTACGCATCCTGACGAGCTTGCTTTACACCATGGAGACCCAAATGAAATGGCCACATGACCTCAGAGGCATCAAAACATTCAAGTTTAATTTTCACTATAAACATTTTAGCATTCTAAACCAACCAAGGGGAGAAATAGGAGGGAATTAGGTTCTCTCATTCCTGCAGATGTTTAAGTGGCTGGGAAATTAATGCTCAGACATGATCTACAGGATGGTCACAGTTGGAGTTTAGGAGTGGACTCTCTTTTGTAGCCGGTGTAAACACATCACCATTTACACCCAAAGCACCTCTATGTGTCTAAATGATGGGCTGTGATGACTCAGAATGGGACACCTGCATCTTCTCTTCCAAGTGTCTCAGTCACCTTTTATTATTCATCTGGCTAGGTTGCCAGGTTGTTATATGCAGAAAGAAGGCAGAGAGATGAGGTGGCCCTGGAGTCTACAGTCTCATTAGCATAGTGCCTTACAATGAGCAACACAGGATGGAGGAAGCCGCTTGCCTAGAAGAGCACCCACCAACTACTAGAAACAATACCTGGTCCCCAATCTTAGGAAATATATGAAGTGAGTAGATATAAAAGGATATAGGGTAACTTACCTCCAAATAGTTCGGAAGACAAATAAGCAAACAAAACACATTTAAGGATTGGACTTTGTTGCTCATGCACAAAGTCCTGGTTTCATCCTCAGTGACTGAACACACACACACACACACACACACACACACACACACACACGCACGATGGTAGGTGGAGGAAATGATAACACAAAATGTGATAAAAAGTTACAATATATGGTACAAATTTTAACTTTTGCAAATTTTAGAAATTATTTCCCAAAAGTATATATATATATAAAAAATGCCCCCAAACAACACAAGCAGAAAACAAAAACAAAAACAAAACACTGAGTGGTAGAGGCCAGGAAAATAAGGAAGAAGAGCGAAAGGAAGGAGGAAAGAGGGGTCTAGAGGTGGGAACACATGGTTATATACACATACAAAAGGTGGCAGCCACCCAGAAAATAGGTGGTAAACAGTACCACTGTAAATGGCTCTACAATATTCTTCCTTTTTGCTGGCTATTCTCAGCAGAGACAGGCCACGGAGGAATGACAAGTTACTGGCTGTTGGCTCCCCACTGATAGTTTCTTTTGCTATGTACTGGCTTTTAATTTTCACGTAGTCCTTGGAGTTATTTCCTGAGGCAGTAGAGTTCTGCTCATAGAGTTCTTGTATACAGCCATATCTTGAAGTGTCTTTCCTTCCTTCCTTCCTTCCTTCCTTCCTTCCTTCCTTCCTTCCTTCCTTCCTTCCTTCCCTCCCTCCCTCCTTCCTTTCTTTCCTTCTTTCTTTTTTTCTTTCTTCCTTCCTTTCTTCTTAAGTGTATTTCTTATATTTCCTCTAGCAATTCCAGCATTTCTGGTTTGTAATTGTCTCTGATCTACTCTGAAATGACCTTTGCACAGAATAAAAGAAAATGGATCTAAGTAAGTTTATTCTTTCACAGATATTAAACAAGGTGACCCAACTCAGAAAGATTAAAACTGGATCTTTCATGAGCAGATTCTGGTTTGTGATGTATATAGATATATGTGTATACACACTCACAATATATACATACATAGATACATATATACATACATAGTATAAAGGTGTAAAAGTGGGTTAAGCCAAAAAAAAAAAAACCTAGAAAACTAGAGATAATAAAAAAAGAGATGTGAGATGCTAAGGAAAGTGGATCAGGACAAAAGGACACACGTGACACAAAAGCAGAAAGGTCATGGGGGTAAGGAAGTTAGAGCAGGGTGGAGATGGGAAGAGAATCTTTTTCAACAAAAAAAAATCTTTTTGAACAAAACACACTTTGTTCAAAAATTCTACAATGACAGCTGATCCTTTATATACCGATTGAAAATTTAACATTGAAGAGGAAACAAAAAGGAGTTAAGTTTTAAAAGGGGAAAAGTCTTGTATACAACTTTTCATCCATCTTTCAAACTTGTAACCTATTGGCTAACGGAACCGCTGGACCTTGTGATGTCGGCTCCACTCAGAATGTCTGTTGCCTAGACGATCTGGCCAGCTTACCACGAGCTGTGTGGCCTCTATTGCCTTGCAGTGGTCAGAACATGGAGAACTTCTCACTCCTCAGCATCTCTAGGCCTCGGATCTCTTCCTCTGCCCTGACTGCCTTTCCTGACATTACATCCTCACTTGCCACCAGCTTGCCAGGTAAATGCGATGTCCCTGGGAACTACAAAGATGTGGGATTGTTTGTTAAACCGATCTGAGTTTTGTTTTAAATACATGATCCTGTCAAATCATGACATAGGATCATGATTGGTTGAGAAAGCCAAATACTATAGGGCGAGAATATAAGTTTTCAAAAAAACAAAACAAAACTGCCTTACTGGTAAGTCTTGCTGTTTCACAGCCTCTGGCAAGGGACAGATGGGAGTACACTTGTCACATTTCAGGCAGGGCCTGTACCTACACGAAATCTTGAGGTGATGGTCTGTCTACATAGAGAGCATGTGCGCTCATTAACTTGGTCTTAAACTGGAGGAAAAAAAACACATTAGTAAGTGGCAAGGAATAGGCTAACTGATGATCACGGTGAGGTACACAGGTAGACACATGACTTGTCAACTGAAGCATGACCCTGGCTCTACAACATGAGCATCACAGGGAAGCTGAGGAAGGCAGGTTCTCAGGCTCCACAGAGAGGAGCCTGTTTAGAATAAGATCCTTTAGGGCAGTGCTTCTCAACTTCTTAATGCTGCCACCTTTTAATCCAGTTCCTCATGTTGTGGTGACCCCTCCAACCATAAAATTACTTTTGTTGCTACTTCATAACTGTACTCTTGCTACTGTTATGACTGGTAATGTAAATACCTGTGTTTTCTGATGGCCTTCGGCGACCCCTGTGAAAGGGTCAGTAGATCCCCAAAAGGGTCATGACCCACAGTCAAGAACCAGTTCTAGGGAATTCCCATGTACACAGGGATTGAACTGGACTGCTGTGGAGTTCTCCTAAACATACATTTGCTTCTACAGGAAACATTTTAAAATCTCTCTCCTAAAAGCCTAGCTATTGCCCTGGGGTTTCAGGCAGATCTCCTTTCTACACAGTCACCTTGTGGTGGTGGTGGGGGTCAAACCCAAGCCCTCCCACATGCTCGGTAAATGCTCTACCACTGAGCTAACCCTGAACCTAGATGGCCGTAAACTTTTCATCGGAGATTTAGTAGCTACCTCAGCGTACAACACACAGCAAGGGTCCGCACGGCCCCTCTGACTGAGGACTTGAGATCCTTCAATTGGAGAACCTGGCTTGTTTTCTCATTCCCAAAGGGACCATGTAGAATGCCTATGTGGGCTTCCATCCTGGGACCTGGGACCCCGAGTCCTGTGAAAGTGAAGGTACTTGTGATACGTAGGAGCATCAGTTGAGTGGTGGGCCAAGGAGAAAGGTATGGCTGAGACAAGTCTTCAGTAATAAGGTTTGAAATCATGCTAGATATGATCTTTCCTGCTTCCTGGCCAAGTCAGAGCCTGACTTCCAGAGGACCTTGTTTGCAGCTCTGAAGAAGCTGCCCTAACTGTGACTCCCTGGAACAACACCTTTAACAGGCCTGCTTGTTTGAGTTTAGAAATGACCATTTTTCATTAGTTTGGAGACCCCTGAGCGCACGGAAGATGAGGTTCTAGAGCCTGTCTTTGGGAGTCCTCCAAAGAGGACTCACAACCCTGTTCAGCTCACCACTCTTTCTTTGGTAACATAGATGTTGCAAAGGACAATGTTACTCACTGAGGTGTCCAGCCCAGCTCAGATCCTGCACCCTCCCCCCAACCCCAAACCCAAGCAAATGATCTCCGGCATGGGGGCATAGCTAAGTGCCCTTACCATCTGAGGCCTTCTCCCCTTTTGGGCAGGGGCACGTGAGAAGCTAAAGAGGAACAGGTGTGGTACCCTCAAGGGAGGGATGTTGCAAGTCCACCCCGCATGCTGCCTTTGTACCTGTCCCTTTCTCAGTAGAGGTCCACAGGTCCATGAAGGCATCTTGCCTTCCAAGTCCCTTCCCTCGAGCCCATGAGAAGAGCCTGTTCCTAGCTGAGTGGTCTTTGGAGGGATCAGGATGGGCACTGAGGCTGGAAAGGTGGTCAAACCATTGGTGGCAGAAAGACTGTATCAGATGTCTACCTGTTCTTGCCTATCTTCAGAGGAGTCAGAAGTCACTGTGTCTTTATGCAAGGAAGGGTCAGTGTCCTGCCCAGACTTCTGATGTTTACAGATACGTGCATTTTCAACAGCAGAAAAAGAATGCAGCAGGAATGGATGTCTTAGGCTCTCTTTTTCCATCCCGTCGTCCCCTGCGGTCTCTCAGCCATCATCAAGGTGGAGCACAATTCCCCCGAGGTCATACGTAGTCTGGTCTGTCTGTCTGCCTCTCCTGACTGCCTCTAGCCACTTCTGCTTCACTGCTCACCGCCTTTAGCGCCAGACTCAGACCCTGCCTTTTCCTTTGCAGACTTGGGGGACACCCAGAACGGGGAGCAGCTGAGGCGGAACTGTACCATCTACCGACCCTGGTTTTCCCCTTACAGCTACTTTGTATGCACAGACAATGAGAGCCACCTGGAGGCCTATGGGTTCCCAGAGGTGGACCGGGAAGAGGGAAGAGGGGACACCTGCCTTACTGAGGATTTGGCTGAGAGTGTCTGCTCGTCTTCCTCCTCCCAAGAGAATACATACACCAGGGAGTCCAACAAGAAATCCAAGCATGGCCTGGATTCTATCACATCCCAGGATATCCTAATGGCTTCCAAGTGGCACCCAGCCCAGCAGAATGGCTTCAAGTGTGCAGCCTGTTGCCGCATGTACCCCACTCTGCACTCCCTCAAGAGTCACATCAAGGGGGGCTTCAAGGAAGGTTTCAGCTGCAAGGTATACTACCGTAAGCTCAAAACCCTCTGGGGAAAGGAGCAGAAGGCCCGGCCAGGAGATAGAATCTCCCTGGGCAGCTGCCAGGCCTTCAAATAGTCTACTGACACATCAGTTAAAAAGGGATGAAGCTTACTTATGCCTCTAGGGAGGAAACAATAAATTGAAGTTAGCTATAGCCTTTTTTTTTTTTTTTTTTTTTTTTTTTGTCAAGTCCGGTCACCCCCATCGTGTGCCACTCCTCTTGGTACCCAGGGAATCTTCATCACCTTCAATTAGTGGTTGCCTAGCAACACCAGACCCATCTCTTTGCCTCTCCCTTTTCTTTCTCCCTTTCAAGATAAACACAATACTAGAAGTTTGAGAATACCCTCTAAGTGGCCGTTAAAGCAAGGTGCTGAGACTAGCAGTGGTGGCCTCTTCTGGGAATCAAGAGGAGACACAATTTGTAGACTCCACTCAGACCTACTCACTCAGAAACTCTGGGATAGAAGCCTAGCTAGCTTTTGCGCTAAGCAGCCTCCATGGTTAGTTAGGATTGGAGAAGTCCAGAGATAAACACCACTGCTCCAGAGTACTGATCTACAGGGATCAGTTCTTACCCACACTGAGGACAAAGGGCAGAGAAGGAATTCCTGCAGGCATCCTAGCTATTAACCTCGTGAGGGTGGTAAACCTCTGGAAAGGACAACATGACTCTCAGCCTAAGGCAGGAAAGACACAAGGAAGGTGGGCCATCTCCACTACATGAACCTCTTGCCAAAGCAGGCAGAATCATGTTTAACCCCAGGGAGAGCTTTCTATGGCTATTTTGAGTCATGCCAACACTACATGCTATCACTACACAATGTGCCACAGGGACAGTCCTGACCCTTGCTTCATTTCAGGGCAAGCCTCTATGCCAATCTGAAGCACAAAAATGACTCAGCATTTCCTCTTGGGGACTGGGTATCAATTGTGTGTGTAGGTCCCTCCTTTGTTTTTCCCACCATATACCTCGACTCTTCCTGGAGCCTGACTTTATGGTTTTAGCAGAGCTGCTTCTGTTTATCATTGTGTTACCAAAATATCATGTATGCTTCTTATCTTTCCCCAGCATGAGAAATGCTCTGCTCAAACCCCTATCACTTAACATGCTTTAACATGCTATGAGGACAACCCTGGTCCTTCATCAGTCTCTGCTTTTCACTGCTTTTTCTGTGTCCTCTCTACGTAGCAACAGTCTAGAGTCTGACTGTCAGCCTCACGAGCTGAGATTTGCAGATCACAACCTGGCCACTCAGAAGCCAGGTGGTCTCTAAGCAACCATGACATCACTCCCTGGATATCACTTGCCAAGAGAGAGAAGTGACTGGCGGGCCTTTCTAGCAACCTACTCTGCTTCTTGACTAGAAAAGCCACTGGGCTTGGGAAGCTGGCTGCTTACATGTGATGGCTGTGCATGCATGTCCTGTCCCTTTGACAGGGCTCCTTAGCAAGTACAGCAAGAGCACACACAGGAGAGGTCCTCTCGCTTTCACCACTGCCTAGGGGACTGGCTCCTAATTGGCTGCCAACTCCATGTTCCCTGCTTCAGGGCCTCTGCATCACCCACCCCAAAGAGCCAATGGAAAAAGCAGATGATAGGAGACCAGCTGAGGGACCATCACTTATGCTATGCTCATCACTCTCCATCTGGTGTTTAGGATCTTCTCACTAAGGACAGGAAGGGGCTTCCCACATTTTGCATTTAACATACTATTATCATAACCCCCGGAAAATTTCTTGGACACAACCCCATGTAGTTTCAACACACAGGAAAAGATGCCCGGCAGATGCCTGTACCTACCAGCACAGGAGTGGGGAGCAGGAGGTATATTAAAAGCAAACTTGACGGTCCCCTGGGGCAGTCCACGGTACTCTCTGCCGAGGCTTTTACAATGCTATCTCCCATGTCCTCATGAATGCTGCACGTGGCATATACAGTGCCAGTGTGCAGGTGAGAAAACAGCCCGGTTCACTTCAGTGTCAGAGAACAGGGGAAGCATAGACCTGGTCAACACCCTTCCCAGACTCCCCTCTGGCCTGGGCATGATAAGGCTCCATGCTTAACAAGCTTCCTGCCTCCAGAACAGCCAAAAGTCACAGTCTGGGAAGTAAAAAAAGCCCCCACCCCACCCCATGGGCTTCATTGTGAGACTCTGCAGGCCATTTCTGGAACGTTCTTTCCTTTCTCGCAGTTCTGCTCTGTGCTGGGAGGCCCATACTTCCATGTGCCAGAGTTCCTCTGTGACTCCTTCATGCTATGGTCCTTCCTGGAAGATCATGGGAGGAGTGTGTTTTGTTCCCTGTATAAACATGGCTGGAATGGGCCCATTTGGGCAACTACCAAGTAGAAACCCTCAGACACGGAATACAGCAGTCAGTGAAATTGCATCATCTTCATCGTAGTTTATGGCAGAAACAATGACATGCTGTTTTTATGTCCCAAACCCACTGCTGCTACTCTCATGTTCTAATGGTGTCTGGAGTCTGAAAACACCTGGGGTCCCAAAAAACTGTGTGTTAGCTCGGCCATTACAATCTCTATTTTAATGCCCTTGGGAGAGATAATTCTCTGTTGGAGCTTTGTCCTATGTGTGGTAGGATCTCTGATTCCTGCCCTCTATATCCCCAAAGCATCTATCCCTAGTTAAGAGAAATGAAGTATCCAGAGGCTGCCGAATGTCCCCTCGGGAAGCGAAATTATTTCCAGTTAATAGCAGTAGGCAGTCAAATCCTGCAGGGCTGGCCCATATGTGCTGCAACCGAGGGTCTGCTTTGATCCTAACCTCTGGGAAACATGACTTCTTTCTGTATCTTGTCCCAGAACTGACGTTACCTAGCTTAGGAAGTGGGTGTGAGGGAAGGGGACAGAAGGAGCAGGTTAAATAGAGGAAGCAAGTAGAGACAATGGGAAAGCATTTAGAAATAAGAAAGGTTTATTTAGCAAAAGCCACTAACTAGTGACAACATCCAGGGAGTAAGTGCACTTTCATTAACAGAATCATTTCCCAGAGAGCTGATCCAATAGTCAATGACACAGCAGTTTTAGAAAGCAGAGGGCTAGAGGGTGGGAGAGCCATCAAGCAGAGAGTAAATAAAGGGATACAACTTGTAAACAAGGTCAGCTGAGAGGAGTGAGTTTCAGAAAGGTTTTTTTTTTTTTTTTTTTACAGATATAGATAGCATTGATATAAGCAGGAATATAAGGAATATGATTTTCAGTTCCCAAATGCAGTTCATCCTGTGCGGAGAAATTCCGTCTCGCCTCTGCAACTGCGAAGCCTTGTGTGCCCAAGAGCTTCCTGGCACCCGGGGCAGGCACCAATAAGGATACCCCTGGTGTCCATGTGTCCTCCATATAGGGCAGAGTAGAAGGATGAAAAGGAGGAAGGCAGAGTTGAGTTAGCAGAACGAGAAGCAAGGAAGGAGCATGCCTGCTGGGGAATCAGGTCTGCAGCGTTCCCTGTCCTGTCATCGGCCTAGATGAAAGGTCGCTGGCTCGTGACCCCACAAGGCCCCTAGATCTATTGTCTCCCATTTCCACGAGTGTCCGGATTTGGTTCTTACTAGGGAGGATATGGCACATGAATGAATTCTCCAAGGCAGGCCTTAACCAGGGAAACAGGGTAAAAGAAGGCAGAGACCAAGAGCAAAAGTCTTAACATGAGTCTCAAGTCAGCATCCATCCTTAACCATTCTCTCCACTTCTTCCATCTCACTTTCATTTTTCCCTTTCCTTCACAAGCGTTTAAAACCCATATCCTGTCCACATGCTTCTTCCCCATAAAGGCAATAGCCCTCTTCACTCCTAGTCCACACACCTCCACTTGTCTCAGATTTTAACCTTGAACAAGTACACCTTAACCCAACAGACCACCCACTCTCTGATACACAAAAGCTTGGATCCAAAGGTCCTAGACTGAAGGAATCCTGGGTTGGAACTGAGTAAGTTAGCCTAACTTGATTCCTGCCGGCTTCCCCTTCAGTTTGGTGGACCTCACATCTGGAATTCTCCCTTCATTGTGTATCTGGACCTCCTTCCAATTGTTAATTAGAAAATGAACAAACAGCATTCTACAGTTCTTCAACTAGATACAGGGTGGGAAAGGGTACAACTCTGTTTATCGGAACACCTGGAGATCTTTTTAGTCATTCTCCACAAGTCTAAAAATATCCCCCTCATACACATACACACACATACCCATACACACACACACACACACACCTCCCCATTAACCCATCTTATTACAATCAATGCTCTGAGTGCACTAGGGAGCAATAATGTAAAGCTATGTTAATTTCCTTTAACTTGACTGCTTAGTTTAAAAGAAATCCCACTGTGGCTATAAGAAAGGGCCATGCTTGCAATCAGGCATGTTTCAGTGCAAAGCTGGGGCTGAAGCACTCCATCTGGGCAGCTCTGTCCTTCCTAGCTGATAACACTGCAGTTTGGCCTACAGCTTGGCCCCTCCCCCCATCATACGACTCTGACCCCATCTCAGCTCTCTCTTCTGGGGTTGAAAACAATCTATTACCCACTTAAGGTCTTACAGGGGGAAAGGAACTTTTCTCATGGGCCTCGCCAGCCTAATACTGAGTGGAGACCCCTAGGCAAGGCCTGGATGGTAAGAGAATAAAGTTGCACTTTGAACACCTGTGCTCAAGGCACACACCCACAGAGAGATGGGCTGGGGTGGCACGGCTGTGGTCCCTGATCTGTTCTAAGTGGCAGTGATTCTGAAAGGTAGACAATCTCGGCTATCAGCTTACATCAATTTCTTCTTCTTTTGCAGTAAAAACTGACCACTACTGCCCAGTGGAGGGGTAGGGAGAGAGGTAAGGCAGGGGACTCTGGGTCTTTGAGACTAGCACAGGGGCATAGCCCTGCCAAAGCTTGGGCAGGCACAGCCCCTGAGGCAAGAAAAAGGGGCATTAGGGGAGTTCTTAGCCTCGTTTCTATGAGCTGGGTTGCAGGCAGGAGATGGGTCGGGGAAGGGTTTCCAAACTAAGAACCGGATCTAAGTGAGCTGCAGCAAACCATCGGTCCTCCCCTGGGCTCTCACAGCAGGTCCTGA